AAAAAAAAAAAACAGAGAGAGAGAGAGAGAGAGAGAGAGAGAGAGAGAGAGAGAGAGAGAGAGAATTCAAGGCAAATTTCAACGAAAAAATTATCTTACTTTTAACAGTAAAACTCGTAATGAAGGGAAGGGCTGATAAGGAGAAGAGCGACGTCGTGGGGCAGGGCGAGTTTTAATTAAAACGCTCTCGCGAAGAAACATACCCGCAAGTTCGAGCAATGCATTTTCAGTGCTAACAAGAAAAGCAAAGGAGAGAAAAAAGCCAAGGCGAAGAGTATCTAGTTGAACTCCCGCGACAATGCTTTCGCAAGAAGACGCCCAAGCTAATCTCATTAACCGGTATTTAATTAGAAACTTCGGAATATTAATTCATCGTTTTACATCGTTACACGATTTTTCTTTATTTCAAAAAGCGCGCCGTTTTCATAATCCAACATGGATTTCGTCCTGCACAGTTTAAAGCGCCAGAATTCTATAGCTGCTTTACAAATAGTATACAAGAGACTTAATGCTCAAACGTTTTACACGTGGTGTATGTGCCGCTGAGATAAACACAGTGTATACTAATTAATACTGTACGACACTGAGTAATGATTCCAAAATATGCATCGATCCAGGGAATTGACATAGCGTTACCATGATTGCCAACAATTAAAACAGAATACGTGGAAACGCGTCAACTGCTCGACCAGGACTAAAATCGTGTTAGAGGTTATAGTGATCACATTGAAATCGACTGAAGTTAAGGGTGAAAAGCGATTCTAGTTAGAAGTTTGCTACAACCTTTACTCCTAAATGAGTGAAGCACACCAGCTATCGGTATATCTCGTTACGTAAACAGTACAGTGCGAACGATAATGAAAATTATAGAAAGGACATATTACAAAGATTTCCATGTTACTAACTCGCACTAGTCTTTCTCCCCGACCTAACATTTACAATTTCCACAAACCCATGAACTCTCATTTCCTATGCTTTTTACAGAACCAAAATTTTCACCCATTCAGCATTAAACTACTCGACCCGACAATCTTTTATTTCGTGCCGAAGCAAATTACGTTTTCAAAGTGCGCGCCACCACCATTTACGTCTCTGTGACAAATCCGACGATCTGACAAATTTTTCATATTCATGAAATACCTTCTTTTTCTCTTTCACTAGTCCTCCAGTGACTTTTTCTCATTCGACGACTGCGCATGCGTCGCCCCTAAAAAGGGTAGAGGAGAATTTTTTAAATTTTATTTTCCGTCTCGTTCACTTTGTCCTCTCGAGAAGCCACCCACTGGGCGATGAAAATTGCATCAGCACGAGATACAAAAATATCGGATGTGTATTACGAATTGTTATTATTATTACAATACGCTGCGCGTAGGGGGCAAACGGTGTATATCAGACTTCACAGGGATGCCAAGTCGACGATAATTTTTTGTCTGATAAACAAGTAAACGTATACAGGTTATTAGGTGAGCTGCTTGGCGCGTTACGTCGTAGCCGCTGATGTACTTCGTCATGATATATCAGCACGTAATTTGCCTTTGAGGCATCATACTATCATAATATCAGTGTGCGAATCAGATAGTTGACAGAGTCCCGTATCAATTTATTTATACAATGAGACAGGAGGTGGTATCTCGTACATCAATCTGACTGCCATTTTGATTGATGAAATTAATCCGTACTTGATTTTCATATTGATTGATCCAAATGGAGATTTATGCTGTTTCCACCTTTGTGGGTATTATGATATTTGGAGAAATTGCGAATATCGTACATAGAATCTACGATATGTCTCACGTCCCTTATTCGCATTCCATAATGCGCTATTAGATACGCGTGACCATGCGGTGTAGATCGATATGCAGCAACAGTCCGTCAATAATATTGAATTCCCAGGTTCTCTGTTAACCCACTTACGGTAAATGGGAATAATAGTCACTCCCGTACGAGGAAATAGATACTAGACATACAAGAGTACCTACTATATACATTTACTGAGAAGAGATATACCATTAAAGAGAAGTCTTATCCGCGAGTAGACAAGTCGAGCAGACGTCTCATAAAAGTCTCGTTAGAGTCCTGAGTAACAGCTGAGTAGTTTACCGACGTCCACTGGCGAGCTGCCAACACGATTCGAAATCGTAGAAGGGTCAGAGACCTTGGATTATTAGAAATTTGTATACCTTGCGTGAGTGCGAGAGAGACGGACTTATGAATGTGTACACGTGTGCGAGAAGGACATGCATAACTGCGAGCAAAATACAAAAATTGGTGTTAACCTCTAATCAAATTAATTACACTACTGATACGTTTTTGAATGGCTATAAAGTTTGAAATTTTCTTTCTTTTTTTTTTTGCATAAACCTCCAAAATGCTTTGATGATTTAGACTAATTTTGATTTAATTGCGACTCTTACCAGAAACTGTATCTTGGTGGAATGCACGATAACCCTTGTACCAGTTAACAGTGTATACAAATATTGAAAGAAAAGTAACACCTGGACTCTAAAAGATTCTCATCTTGTGGAAAAGTTATCGTTGCGTATCGTATTATCTCATACAACATCCATAAAGTCTTCGTACATAATAATTTCCAGCAAGTGTATCTGTGGCGTAACACTTATGGCATCAAGGGAGACGCGAAGCGACGGGAGTAACGAGCTTGTAGTACTTATGGGATGACTGGGTGAGAAACGATAAAACGAAACGTTACGACATCATCGTCAGAGAGTATGACGCGATTACCTCTTTCGAGAATGAGAATGAGAGAGAGAGAGAGAGAGAGAGAGAGAGAGAGAGAGAGAGAGAGAGAGAGAGAATCTCGTTATGTATATATGTATGTTATATAGGCCTAATGGGGGTGCTTGCGAAATTCCCTTGACTTTATCCGGCGCGCCAAGTGCCATCAATTCTTCTTGATTAAATCAGGACGGAAATGAGTGGCATTAGCAAAAGATTTCCGGCTGCTACCGAACAGGCTGTTACATAAATGGTTTCAATATTTGAGCTTGAAGCGTGGACGATTATACCGAAATTTTGAATATTCATTTCTTCATCCCAGCAAACGTAAATGCATATTTTTTCGTACTTACGTTGTACCTCGCACGAGGATCTTTCAGAATCGTGTGTCTTGCGAGACTTCCGGTACTCGCCTGAAGATGCGGTCTCAGTGAACCTACGCTGCCCTGTAGAAGATCCGGCTTGTCAACTTCGGGTCCACCGAATTCCTGGAGTTGCTGCAACCAGCAACATAGCATGGCCTCTATACCCTCGTCGACCTGGAACATTCGTAGTATTTCGTAGGAGTTAGTTAGCAGGAAGCTCCTGAGGTTATGGTTAATCTTTACGAGACCGGCATGTCCTTGACTGACTTTTTTGCTTTTTAGCCCTAGAACTTCTTCATCAATGTCGTTGGGTTGAAGGGTGGAGATGCTGACCCCCTACTCTCGCGCCACTATAGTGACTTCCGGGCTATAGCGGAGAATTCATACCTGATTCATAATTTTTTGTTCACTTTTGTCGGTTAAATAATCATAAATATAGTTTACGTTTACAAAATAAACTTTGAGATTTGGTCTTGTATGATATTTCATAGTTAGAAAAACATATACCTTGTTATAAAGTCAATAAAAAATAGCCAAACTATTTACGTGTCAGTGAGCTCTTTCGTTGTCTTGATTTTGATGTTCACACAGTGAAGTATAATAATAATAATACTACTAAAAAGTAAAGTGTAGAGTGCACCTTTTGAGAAGCGTTCTCTTTGGAATACGCCTGCGTAGTAGCTTCTTTGGGCCCTAGTGTCACGTCGGTTTCTGTTCCCACATCCCCCAACCCCACGAGACCAGAAAAATTGTATAAAATTGACTGAAACAGTTCAAAGCCACTAAAGTGACTTCCGGTCTTGTAAAGAATTAACAGGATAACGCTGGTAATGACGATGATTTAGTAAGTTTATCCAGTTAGCTTGTTAAGTCCATGCAATTAATTACGTCCGATCTAGTTGAAAAAGGTCGACGAGATCCGACGAGGTCGTTTCAGGTTTTTGAGGTTTGTTTGAATACGATTGAGGGTGACCGGAAGCGGTCAGGATGAAACGCGTGAGCTCCTAAAATCCGTAAGACGTGAAATATGAGTCCAGGGAGGATGTAAAACGAGATGCTCACCCTTCTGGAATCTGGTAATTGTGGGAATACAAAGTCCGATGCCGTGAGGATGATCTTGTAGGGACCCTTGGACATCCTGTTCTTCAACAGGTGCCGTCTGCAATTGACCTTAGAGCTAGAGAGTGGGTTATACGTGTGTGCCAGAAGTAGAACCAAGCCAGGGATGTATCAGACAGACAAATAAATGAATTACCGTATGAGAGCCGCAGTGACGATTGCAATGAGTGCGAAGAGAAGAGATCCCAGGATGATGGCTACGATATGTGCGGTCCGGAAGGGTATAGCGTCATCTGCCGAAAGTATAGGATCAATGAAAATTATTGTTCATCCGTCCAGAAAGGATCTTTCCCTCTGTCAGCTTCGAACGACGTTTCATTACTTTATCTCCTTGTTCCACGTACCTTCGGTGCAATCGTTCTCGTCGTCACAGTGAGAACCGAAGACTTCCTCGTCGGTAAAGTCGTTCGTCGTCAATTCCTGCACCAGGAGTTCTTGATCGCGTTCCGTCACTGTGAGTATCGCTCTCCATTCCTCGTCGTGCCAATTCAATAATGCGTAAGCGTACATATTATTGTTATACGAATTAATACTAGAATTGTCCCTGATAAGAATATCCAAAGATTCCCGCAGATGATCCACGATTTTCATCTCGGCGAAACTCTCTGTGCAGTTTAATAGTCTGTGAAAGTTGCACCTGAAAATCAATAAAACACCCATGTAGTTCTGTGCTACGAACTCTGGAAACTAATTAAGAAAATCCAATTAAAAAATTTTGCACAGTAACGTCAATCCACTGGGAGATTATGACACGTGACTGACTACAATCAAATTCCCATGACAAATTGTATCTGACGAAATAACGTTAATTCCCTCATATCCCTATAATACACATATCTATAACGTACAGCTCTGTATATGCTGTATGTATATTATATCGATATCTCCTCTACCCAGCGAGCCAATACTAGAAACAATCATGGTTTACCCAATGACCTAAAAACAACTGGTAATACCTCAAGATTCTTTCGCGCAGCTTCCCAAGAGAACATATATGTTTAGTACCACGTGCCGACAGCTTTAAAAGTTTCACCAATTTCTCTCGTCTTATTTATAGCCTAACCTAACCTAAAAAAATTCCCTCCGCAATTTCCAGAAACATTTGTCATGGACTTGCGCGCAATGATAATGTTAAAATTAATATAAGAATATAAATCTTCCCTGGGAGTCGAAAAATGATGACGCACCTGCCACGCGAGATAAATATTCTCAAAGTTAACAATGTTCCCTGTATTAAATATTGATGGTAACGGTGTGCTCATCCTGGTGTAAGGAGATTGTACGCATTGGTTACCTCCGGTCGAAAGGCGCCAGAACCAGCAGATTATGGAGGGTCGATTGGCTGAGGTTCCTGGAGGGTGAAAAACGTCCAGGGTCTTTTCTATCCTTGGCCCAAGGATGGCTCTCGCTGCTGGCTCTCGCGTCGTGAGATGCGTCGTGGTTGGAAAAATTGGAAGACAGGGTGCTGCTGAGTGTCGGCTGTACGCTGGCTGTGACGTTGCTGGTTGTATTCGTGAAAGACGAAATTGGGGTCTGGCGAGGTTGGAAGAGCTCAGGAGTTTTCGGATGGACCATCACAATGGCTGAAGTGGGTACGTGAGATTCGCGCATTACATCCAGCTCAGCGAGTACCCGGCTGGAGAACTCAGCATCCAATGGCAGGCATAACACGAGCACTGTTAAGTAAAAAGAAGTATATATATATATATATATATACATGTATATGACGTCTAGCTGGTCTCATCTTATCTCTCCTTAAGGAATAATAAAACACGAGCACTGTTAAGTAAAAAGAAGTAGTGAGATTCGCGCATTACATCCAGCTCAGCGAGTACCCGGCTGGAGAACTCAGCATCCAATGGCAGGCATAACACGAGCACTGTTAAGTAAAAAGAAGTATATATATATATATATATATACATGTATATGACGTCTAGCTGGTCTCATCTTATCTCTCCTTAAGGAATAATAAAGGATCCACTCTAAGAGTGTCTAGATTGTATAAAAAGTACTTGGGCACGATTATCTCATTAAATCCCAAGTGCCGGCTGTAAGTACCTATAGTAACAACCCCTTACGTCACTTGCATCCTCATTCAAATAGATGGTCGGTACATGAGGTTACAGACGACCCAAGGTCGTCTTACGAAATCGACCCAGAAGTATCTTATGCAACTTGTCAATGCGATAAATCCTACTTCTAGGAGATTCACAGCTGCACCCCCGGGAGGTGGCCTTGCTCCTTTTATTCAAGTGGCTCAACCACCCTTAAGTATATACGTATTCGCAGTCGTATCGCTGTACTAGTCAAATTACGAGTGATATCGTTTCCCCTGGATATACGGGTGCTTTTCTAAGCTCGTGAAAATCCACGAGAAAGGGGCTGCTCTTAACTTGGCAAGTTGGGCTGTTAAACGATTTGACCCCATACTGTTACTTACGTGGTAGATTAAATTATGGGAGGTACGGCAGTCTAGGTACGATAAGACCGACGGTACTGGCGCATACTCACCTCGGCAGGGTATGGTGTGCAGGGGTCGTAAGGAGGTGTGGATTTGCTTAACTGTTGCACGCGAGGGTAGAACCATATGATGCCGTGGTAGAACTCCTATACTGCGTAAAGCACCAACCACAGCTCTGTCCAAGCTGGACCAAGGTTCGTGATCTGTAAGGATAAAGGTAATTCAAATTGTTCATCCCTTGCACACTGTCTAGCTCTTATCGAATGGTCCAAAAATTCTGCAAGTCCAGAATACTCGCACCTATATAAATGCCGAAAATTTAGAGCATTTCCGAAAATAGCGATGGCGTGAATTTTCACGTAGCGTGGACGCTGCTTGTCGTTTCTCTTGAAGTGACAAAAAGTGGGGTGAAAAGGGTAAAAAAAGGGGACGGAAGGCTCACCCGTCCTGCTGGAAGAGTTGAAATTCTTTTGGACATTCGGGATAATTTACTGCCACGAAATGACCTAGGGGTAGTTTCTTCTACCGTATTACCAGGAATCGCAGCTTTTATAACTCGAGACTTTGAAATTCTTTAATATTTTCAGGGCTGACGTAACGGCGGGGAAGGTACTTTATCCACGTGGGCGCCTGCTGCAACCGCACCGAAGTAATTAGATAAGTTATAGACGTTAATAAGGAAATGCAATGCGGTACCATAGACTAATTACACAGCGACGGCGTAATGACGAATTTCGATTAAAAGTTGAATAGACCAAGAAGTCCTTAAGTAACCCAATGCCACTTAGATATCTGACTTCGTTCAGGGGATGAAAATATAGATTGATGCGCCCTGATTATCTCGGCGCTGAATAAAAACGATGTACATCTATATACGATCCACAGATCCTTTCAGATTCAATTTTTTTTTAAATATAAATGAACACGGATGCTGGAAATTCTTCATATTTATATGAATGTCAAATTTTCTGCCCTTGCTCAGGAAATTTGATTAAAAAATTACGAGGGACTCTGCCGACCTTCAGGTCGTCTTCCCGAACGAGCAAAGTTACCCAAGGACTAAACGGGAAAAAGGATTCGGAACCTGAAAGCGGATTGGTTCGATAAAATCAGTTCGAGATGATAATTAAGATAAATTCACCTTATGCTTTCACGGTGCGTTATCTTTTTCCCCTTTCTGTTTCTTTTTTGTCCCTTTATTTTATTATACCCTGAACCTCGCTACTGTAGAACTAGCTAGCAATTAGTCGAGGAGAGTTAGCGTAATAGCGCTAGTTCTTAAACCTAGGGAATTTCTCGTTATCACTAGGACGCGACTGAGAGCCGTAAATGGATTCGTGAGAATAAAAGATCTTGGACGAAGGATTTAAGAAAAGTAGAGCAGACGACAATGCATATCGTTATGGAATTACCTCAAGGATAATCCGTTGCACCGTTAAAAGCCTCGCCAGAAAGATCTGAACGTTAATAACGTAAAAGAGAGAAAGAAAAAAAAATAATTTAAAAAAAAGAAGAATAAATCCGGTCGACGTTATATCATGAATTTCCCATGAAATTTAACATACGGCAAAAATCCGAAGTATCGGAAAAGCATGTGTTATCGCGAAGCAGAGATCTAATTTCGAGAAAATAATTGCCACGAAGAACTTCGTATACCGGGTGTGTAAGTTGCGAATTACGTTAATTCAAACTTTTAAATTAATAACAAGTTTCCAGAGGTACATATTAAAAAAAAAATTAGCGCTCCGTAGCAAGCCACGTACATTTTTTATTTCTACTGGCATTTTCTTTCCCACTGTTTTTTTTTTTTGGTTCTCTCCCTTTTACGCGGACGGACGAAAAATTCTCGAAAGAGAGAAAAAACCGAGAAAATTAGTCGTCGAGACTCGGCGACAAGATTCGTCGAGTTACATGGAAACTCGCGATTAATTAAGAACCAGGAATGAACGCAAAGGTAATAAATGACTGTAAAAAACTACTTTTCGTGTATAAAAAAAATTATCGGATTAATTGACTTTTATTTAACGTCTGTGTCCAGAGATGGACCAACAAAAGCTTCAATCGTGAAACGTAAAAAGCTTTCTGGCAATGAGAAGAATTTATCTCCCGTAGTCCTACAGACGCAAAAAGTCCTTAAAGACACAAAGGATCCAGTAAAATATCGAAGTCATTTTCGTAAATTCTAATAATTCACATTGAATATCTTTCAGTGAATCTCATCCACGGTTACGCGCTTGTGCTTTGTGTATACACATAGTTCTACTACCACGAGGGATAAAAGGGTCGTCGAGTAGCTAAAGGGGTTGTGAAGTTTCGTTAGACAAATGGCACCGCCGTCCACCTGAACGTTACACCCAATTAACAATGAATGTATCTTCACCCGAGATGCTATACAAGACTAAAGGTCCTCTTTTAGAAAAGCCATTATCTCATTTCCGTATACACTGATCTTCGACAGGGAAAAATATTCACAGATAATTATTTCATGGTAAAGGGATGACCAAAAAAAAACCACTGTGACACAGGTTAATTGATACTGACAAGCTCCATTCGATATAATTGACAGTCCTGTCAATGGGGTAACGTAGTAACGAGATTACTGTACCGTTTCAATATGGCGGTTACTTACTTCATGCATCGCCACTTTTTTGGAAATAATAAATCTACATAATGATGGCTCACCTCGGAAGAAACCCTCTAATTTATTCGCGGGAGATCCTCGTTAAAGGCACCCAAGTATAGCCACCATTTCATACCGTGGAAGTCACAACGGAAATCACAGAAATTTCTTAAAAATACCCTCGACAGCCGTAAAACGTATTGCGAGGTTCATTAAGGGTGGTTCACAGTGTCAAGGTATTCGAATGCATAATTAAGCTGGAAGTAAAGAAACACATATTCATACCTCGTATGCTTTCACGTATTATACCCACTACCCTTATATACATATATATGTATGCATAATTGTAAAGATCAAATGATGGAATACGTAACCTGCAAATTTGACAGTTTTAAGGAATATAGGTGACTTCCCACGAGGACAATGATAACTGATTAATGTGAGTATTTCTTATGGAAAGATCGATTAGCTAATTATTTTCAATGACTCTTGTTAATTAATCTTACGGAATAATCGACAGCTAAGGAAAACACTCATGTACAAAGTCGAAGCTCAGGTCGACGTAGTCAATCTAAAGTGATTGGAAGGTATAAGAACGAAGAGACTCACCCGTTCCGATAACAGCTACGGATTTCCATTTAAAGTGCAGGAAAATCTGAGTGAGCGCTTCCGCCATTGCTGGTAAAGATGGAGACAGTCGTACGATCGATGACAGTTCGCGCTCCTCGACGCTTTTCTGAAAGTTTCAGTGAAAAGTGATTGTACGAAATGTGAAGTGACATAAAAACCTGCGATTGGATTCCTGAAGCGAGTCAACAGTCGTCATCGAAGTCGACGCGGCACGAAATATATCGACTTGAGTTTATATCGTTGGCTTAATGGGGCTTTTCAACGTCGCTTAACATTATCGATTATCGAATCAACGTAAATGCGATCCATGCAGTCCGGGACAGTCTTGAATTGTGAATGTACGACGGAGTCAGTATAATGTGTGTGCACCCCTTTTCATCCCCTATGAGAAATTTAATACCACCATTTGATCGACGTGCTTGCGAGCATAAATTCCATTTCCGCAAACAACGCGTAACTATCCTATCGATTTGTACGCGCACGATCAGTCGTGCCAACTTTGAGTAACTCAAATAATTTCCCGCTTCGAAGCATCGGATCAATCCCTAAAAGGAACTTTGTAACGTCCCGCTTGAAACAGTCCCAGCAACCCTCGATTCTTTTCTGCTATTTATTTTCCGCCTATCACGATCCTCGAGCTGGCGCAGAGGTTATGTTTCCTTGAAACGACTAACCCGGGATCTGACATCGTGGCGAGTCTTCGGGGGGACCGTGTAAGGGTGAACTATAAAATAAAATATAAGAGTAGTTTTATCAAAATTATGCCCAATATCTTTCTTAACGCGAATCTATTGAATTACCAAAATGGCGGAGAATCCACCTCGGCATTAGTACGAGTTCGCACTGTCACCCTCTGATTCCATGGATATTAAAATAAAACAGCAGCTCAAGGAGGATACAACGTGTAGGGGTGGAAAAGCTTTATTGGCCGTTGACTGGAAAATTATAAAGAAAATCTAATCGAAGTACAAGGTAAAGTTAGGTGGGAAAACCAATAGGTCGCGTGCATCGAGTTGTCCTTTTTTTCCCTCCAGTTTCGCCCCCTCGCCCTCTTTACGTCAGATTTATTTATAAATACGATGCATTTGTAATACGTGACCACTTAGAGTGCATCGTGATATTAGTCATGGGAATGTACATATTTTCCGGCTTTCGTTTAGAAACCGACAATACATCCCATCAACGTTATTTTCACCATTTCGAAAATGACACCTCGTTAGTCCCGTCCTGTTTTCCTATGACAGAAACGATCGACTTTACCGAACTGAAAATCAACTTCGTTAAATATTACGAGATAATTGCGCCTCCGGATACTGCCAGGACCGTAACTAACGTCGTGACGTAACGTTACGTGCAGCTCATGTGAACTCGGCTGAAATTTACGTGTATCTTTATACACGAAAGCCAACCTGAATAACATCAAGTTTTCCAGCAACACTGACTGGGGTATCCAACATGAGAAATTCTATTTATTCGTACATAATAATTTCCTTTATTTATATGTGTGTGTGTGTGTGTGTGTGTGTGTGTGTGTGTGTGTGTGTGTGTTAAATATGAGTATATTAAAAATGAAAAATAGACAAAGGAAAATTCGTAGGATTCATTTAAATGGAAATAATACCAGGATTTTCACCCACTGGGGATATATCAGTATTTCCCACAGCTACCCCTGAATTTCTGCTGATTTAAAAATTCTCACAATTCCCACTGTCCATATATATTAGTGTATACAATTTTCAAATTACCATACCTATTTTGAATTTTTCATATGTGATCCAATTTCTTCCTTCTTTTTTTTCCTCCCTTATCCTTCCTGATCAAAAATCAATACCAAATAAAAGCAATACTAAGTTTGACCAGAGTTTTGGTATTATCAGTCTCTAGCCACCTTCTCGATTACCAATCAAATGAAAGCACACAAGGGTGTTCGACGGTCCGAACTTACCCTTCGGGAATCAAGTTCTGAACATAGGAACTCACTGTCTTATAGGACTAGCGCTAACAATCGATAGTCAGAAAGGATTTACGTTCAACGGAACGAAGTTTATGATGGATAAATGAAAAGAACAATTTTTATCTGATCTCCAAGGGAATCGGTAGAAGAAATACATAGGGCTAGGTTATTATAGTGTCCCAAGGGATTTGCTTTGGGGGAAAAAAAGGGTATATTCAAAATCGTTTTTTTTTTCTTGTTACCTCTGCGGAAACATCAAAAGGATTTGAAAATATAGAAAAGCGTAGAGTCGATCAAAAATATGCCAGCTTCAAAGCTCCTTTTGCATCCACCGAACGACCAGAATAATACAAGAAAGTACGAAGCATCCTAGGATATAATATCGATTAAAAGGCTGATAGAGACCAAAGGAGAGGGAGAAAGAGACGAGTTAAAGAAAGTACGAGAAAAAGAGAGACGAACGATTTCTTTAAGTTTTGGAATTTCGTCGTTTGGCTGGAAGCTTAATAAGTACTCCTGGAACTAATATCGCCCTATGAAAAAGTTTCGTCCAAGAGGTTAAAGGTCCCTTTGGTAAGTAAAAATGCCTGAAAATAAAGCGAAGCGCGATTCCATAAGGGCGAGTAGAGGAAAAAGAAAAAGAAGAAGACTTCACACAAGATTTTCATCCCTTAGCTCGGGATATACATTTACATCTCTATAAACATATTTCCCCGTCCCTGATTCATTCAGTATATATGCTATTACTTATTATGCTATATAGACCCTCTGTATATATAACTTACACCCTGTATATATAGGTAACTAGGTATACATTGGTGCGACATACACAGCAACCCCTCTCGAGATTAACTTGCCAACTTTTGCCTAACAACAAATCTTTTCAAACTAGGTCGACTGTACTTCGAATGGATGTCGTTGTCAACCAGTTAGGACCGAATGACATAAACTGTCAAATTATTTGTTTTTCTTGCCTGCAGTTGATGAAATTTCGTAGGGATTAGCCACGGGGATAGGTTGCCCAGGAAGGGGTTTAAATAAAGATGGACGAAAAGTACGACTTGATATTTTAACGGGAACTGGATAGGATAAAATCACTAGTTTTCAAAAGGGTCTCGTGAATTCTCCATTTACAGAATGGTCCTTGCTGATCCTTATGTACTTTATAACGTGGGTTATTTACAAGGCAAACCGCAAGCGTCCAAGCATATACAGTGGTACCATCCTGACGTCGTATAACAAATTATCTGCTATCCCAAAACTGCTTAAAAAACTAGTATATTATTTTGATTGGTATCCCTTGTAGGCTTTACACCTTTATGACTAAATCCCTTTGTTCAGCAATGCCCGGATGTTTATCGGGGCTGAAAAGAAGAGGGATGATATTTTTCATGGTAACCAGGGTCAATAACGTTGAGCGAGAGACCGAAACCAGAAATGGGATGTTGGGGGTTGGATATTAGGGAAGGAATAATAATCGCGTTACTCATGAAATTTTTAACTTTTTTACAGAAAATTTATATCCCACGAGAATTATCTAATTTTTATGACCAAGAAGACCTATATTCGAGAAACCGGATGAGGTTGGGTGTTCACGTGTATCTTAGCGAAAGAAAAATTGAAAGAAAGAAGATAAAAGCGGAAGCTGAAGAAGATGAAGCCTTGACGGACAAATTATAGAAAAAATTTGTATTCGGGTTGCTGGAGCCCCGGAAAAGTGCAGGGCACAGGGAAAAGGCAAAAAAATAACGAGACCCGTGCTTGGTTTGTAAGACGAAAACATTTCATTCTTCACTCATTTTCCCTCCATTCGTTCCTCGAAGCCCCAAATGCTACGTGTTGCTACGTGGGTGACGGCCGAAGCGTTGCTTTGCAAACAAAGGGCTGACTCTTACGTAGGGTTGGTAGTCCCGAACGATGGCAAAGAGAAAAAAAAGAAGAAACTCCAAAACGCTTCTGTACTTTCTCACGCAAACACATATTGACCTTCAACCATACGTAGTCCGTATGCACTCACCAAGGGACAGGTCCAGGTAAGCAATGGTTTGTCCCAGAGATGAGCCAGCCGTGCTGCTACGTCGCAGGTATTGACATCCAGTGCGGCAATCAGGGCTCTGGTTGAAGTTTGTCCAAGAGCCTGGACCAGGCCACCGAGACCTCTTGATCTTGACTCGCAGGTAACTGCGCAATAAAGAGAGATGCGTAGTACGTTAATTAGCAACGGATGAAGGAAAGCAAAATTGCACAAATCAAATGGGATATCGGTATTCCATCGCCTTGGCCTCGGAATAGTTTTCGGCAGTTTCCGGTGTCAGCATCGAGGAAGAAGAGCGCAGTGGGCCCGATCGATGCAGCCTAAATGGAACGCGTTGGTTGGTTGGTTGGTTATGCGCCACTTGCATCCTCGTACACACGAGTGACGCCTGAACATCCACATCCAGGGATGAGTCTGCGATGAAGCTGAAACCATGTGTGGATTCCAGTGAGTCCAGACAGTCAGGAACGGCGGTTACACGTGCTCGCACTGTGGATTGGCGGAAGGGGGTAAAATATGCATCGTAGAAAATACTAGACAAATGCATGTACCCTACGTGCGAACGGGATGCAAGTTACGTCTATTCGCTGGACAAGATGCATTTTCCCATTCAAAATGGCCGAGTCATAGAAATTTACCTATAAAGGCAAATGCGGCAATTTACCTACAGCTCCGTTTGACCATTCTCAACCATAGCGATTCATCCAGAAACAACCATTCGCCAATGCAATTCGAGCGTGGAACTCGCTCAACTCCATTTATTTCGTAAGTTAGTAATTTTTACTCGACATTGATAAAACTTTGTAATGGCCTGTACGTGGTACGACCTATAAACCTAGTTTCCATACAAAGTACGAGTGACGTATGGTATCGTCCAAGTAAATAAATAACAATACAGGTATTGTGACAGTTATCGCGTCAGTGGACGACAGTACTGTGTGCATATCAAAGATTCCTTGTTCAGCAATCTGGTTATACGAGTCTATCGGATACACGCTGCGTCGTTTGCAGTGTCGGCGAAAAGTTTCCGGACAAGGATTTAAATTTGGAAAAATTATAGTAAAACGTCGGTCCATAAAATTCGTTTTTAATCTTGACTGAGATCCACCATTTGAGCCCAATGAAGTCTCCTTTGTTCTATTTCCGCGCCGTAAAATTAGTTTCTTAGTGGAAATTCCGTCCCAAGGCCGGCTCTGTGCAAGCGATCCTCGACGTTAGTCGGTGATATCTGTTTCTCATGAGTTTCATTGAACCGCCTTTGGGATTTCCGAAGCAGTAAGCCTCCTATTCACTTTGGACATTGTTACTAATGACCGGTCCTCTGCTTTGGAAATGACTCGGGCCCTTACACTGCGTGCTTCGTCCCTATTAGAGCCTGTTCTACGGAAGGGAGTGATAGCATGTCCAACGGTAGACCGCGATATTTTCCGTTTTTTGAAAACATAACGTAGGTGGGAGTGGGGGATATACGTTTTTCTATAGACAAATCTTGAACGTGATTTGGTCGAATGTTGCCCGAGAAAAGACTGGCAAAAAAAGGTTTGAGTGTATTTGTAGGCCTTGTCCGAAAACTTTTGGCGTTTCATAATTATTTTAGCTGACGAGAGCTTTGAAGTGTGCCATTCAAGAGCCGTGGGAGTAACGTATAATGTATTCGAGGTATACAGTAATTTGCAGCCTGTGTTATCCTGAATCTACCTGTTAATCCACCGGGACATTAAGTTACAAGGATATCCTCTTCTCCTCAAAGTCGAAAGATGCGTTTAATCTCGTGGCACGATACAGTATGAAATAGCCATCACATAGCCACAAGTTGCCTACGCGAGAACCCATCTCAAGATTATTCGTTGTCCCTTCGAAGAATAAGACAGTTACGTATATTATAATTTGAGCTGTCAATATGATTGTCCTTTTCTCGCCCATGTAAATTGGCGTAAGTCCGTCTCTCTCGCACTCGCAGGTGGTATAAGAAACTTTTAAAATCTTAAGGACCAGGGTCGACCCTTTTCTAACGACAGTACAATTGTTACTAGCCTGTGCCTCGTAGAAGAAGCTATGCTTTTTTACAGTGATCAACGTACAAAATCTTGTCAAAATACTTATTCCGATAACGTACATTTTCCTTGGAGCATAATACGGCTTTGTATTGTACATGATGTATCCAACCATTCAGACCACGTGGAACGTCTACGCGTGTTCTTTCGTTGCTTGGATACAAAAAGTTTATATTAGGATTTGACTTAGGCTTTACTGGGATATTTCTACTTTGAAGCTAAGCTCAATTACGTTTCCGGTTTAAATCTCGAGAGTAGAGGTAACGATTAGTCAGGATCGTGGGATTAACGTCGGACTTAATCGAGACATTAACTTCACCTTCCTACGAACAGAAATAACAGTGTGACGTAGAGGCCGGTAAACGCCTGGAGTTAAGGAATGGCAATAGCCATGGACCGTTTTAGCCAAGAATCACCGGAACTTCCGGAAGTCTCCGCCACATTTAATCCTACCTTCGTCTTAGAAAATAGCGAACCCTGGAAGTTATTATGGACAGTATCACCGTTTCTACCAATGAAGCCTCCTACCGGAATGAAATATGCTATTCCTAAGGATCTTCTGTCCTTTGATCCAGGATGATAGAAAAAAATAGAAAAGATGACAATAACACTTGCTACATTATCCAGATAAAAGTGTATGAAGGTAACTCTGCTTATAGATTGTCACATTCGATTCAAGAAATCAAAGAAACATACAGATTTTCATATTTCCTATACCTACAGCGAGTGCGAGAGAGAGGCTCTTATGAGCGCTTACGTGCGCAAGAGAAAGACCGACATAGTGATCGTCCAAATTGACCAGGTGAGCGGGCACAGTTAGAAAAGAATTTCGAGACGTTCCAAAGACGTTCAGAGGATGGCTTTGTCTTGTGGATGATCGCTCGTGAAATCCGTCTGATGTAAAAAATAAAAAAAAAATAAGTAATAACAGGTTTTAAAATAAATAATTACTTTTTTTTTTCTTCAAATATTATATCTCTCTCAATTTGCAGTTATAATGAGTCTGTCCCCTACTTCAGGTTCACCGGAAGTTTCGCTTCTGTATCTCAAAGCCACTTCCGTCGCATTAGTACACACGGTGTACTCCAATCCTCTTGATTGCCTGACAAAGGCAAGCTCACCGGAAAATGACAAAACGAGTTTACGCCGCCGTGCAAATGTCCGGAGAATTCCGAATGGAAAACGGGGACAACTATTGGCGAAACGTGTTCTGGGATTAACGAAGGATCATTAAAACGTATTTAACGATAAACCAGCGACCTCTGCATTCGCTTTTTGTCGCAGGCTATGGCTAGGTGAGGAGTGGCGTAGTATCATTAGACAGGGATTAAGTTCTGCGGTCACGTGGGGACGTTAAATAACAATTTGAAGTCACGAACTACTTTAATAATGGAATTACCGAGCCACGCCTCTATAGCTATACTGCTTGCGATAACGAATTAGACATGCATGTTGGATTTTCAAATTTTAAAGGTGTTTGGCGCGAGGTTTAATTTAAAATGAGAAATCGTACACGTGCCACAGTTTAAAAATATGTAAATACCTTGAGGCGTCTACTGTAATTTTACATTACGGAATCAAATTTCGGAATTTCAGTGCAGTCGGGAAGAAAAAAAAAAACAAATTTTATTGCCACAACTTGAACCGTTCTCGGAGACTGTTTAATCTATACCTTTGGGTGCGTCGTAAATCTAAAGGGAAAATCGAGCGCAAAGGGACAGAAGGTCATATATGTATATATATATATATATGAAACCCGCTTCTATGTAAGACACTTGTGCGCTGACGCGTTGGTTATTTATTTCATTATAAAAAAAAAAAAAAAAAAAACGGGTGAGAAAGACAAGAGAAATTGCCGGGTCTATAAATAAGCTGTGAATTTCAAAAATGTAAGAGAAAAATGAAAAGAATTCCGAAACGTCGAGAAGTTTGATAAAATTGTGTCGAAATCAAATTGATGAAGTTATTCATGTGGATTGCAGAATTATTTGAAATTCTCAGTGATAAAAATTAGTCTCTGTTTTTGTTTCAGCAAGTAGATTTTTAAGTTAGCCAACAAAAAATTGCTCCCACCTAAAACGATTTGTGTTTATTGTTCAGCCACAGACATAGCGACTTTGCACTGTAGCGTGAAATACAATTGCTGCACGCCATGAGTTCTAAAGATTAATCAATCGTAAAGTCTCCCACCTTTTCGATCCTCCTTTTATATGGGAAATCACTGGTCTAATCCCAAAGAATTTTCTGCGACTCTCTCGTGATCTGAAACTTCTGACCTTCTGTTTTATTTCTTTCTTTTTATTTTCTCCCTTCTCACCTTGAACAGCCTCAAAGATTTCTTTAACAATCTAGTCTCGCGTGCATCACGTAACCCACAATGTACCCTCTTTCCAATCTGTACTGGTACGCCTGTTCAGTTTTGCAATATTGGTCCATTATTTTTTTTCAGATTATATCCAGATTCGATACTTAAATTCGATAGAATAGACTTTAGATTATAAAACTGATACTTAATAGAGTTGAGTTAAGACATTACATAGAGTATATAGACTCTAGCAAAAAAATTGATTATACTTTTTTTGTTCATCATGAGCAGTCAAGAATCTTATAACGGGTAAAAACATTATAAGATACAATTAAAGCGTTAGGAAATTACAATTTAACCAGATGGACCACACAGTAGTGTAAATACGCAGCTTCATATATTTCTCTGAGAATTTCTAAAAACTCGTTTCAGTATAATGCTCATAATTTTTGCTCAGAATACTTGGCATGAACGCTCAATAATACTAGGTCTAAAGAATAGGTAAGATCCAGATAGCAATACAGTCTGATATGTGAATCTGACTTAATATAGACTCGCATAAATAATTATTTGGAAGACCCTGAGTACTAAGAGTGAAAGGATCGGCGAGTTTCTACGGAATTTCGAGAACACACGTGTTCCAAATTGCTTTTGCCAAGCGCCTATATACTCCGTTCGCGAGAACGTGAGCAGCGCATAGAGTTTCGAAGAATAAAATGAAGACAATATTTTCGGTTTCAGCCTGATGCTTTCACTTGAATCATTTTTCTTAAATATTTATATTCAGATAACATACATAAAAAATAACACTCAGGGAGGGTTCAGTCGTTTGGCAGGGTGCTGAACGATCAAGGGATCCTGGGACGGATGTGGCATTCCTGTAAAAATGGTATACGTTTAAGATTTTCCAAGTCACGGGAGACAAATGACGCAAAAACGAGAAAAGGTAGGAAAAAGATATATATAAAACAAGTAGCGAGGGGTTGCGCTATTGACAAGAGTCCTTTCAGCAGATCGGAGACGCTTCCCTTTTCATCTCAATCAAATACTACGACTTCCTTCCTTTTTTACGGGCAAATGCATAAAGGTACCAGGAGGAAATGATGACACAAAGAGTTCACCCTGTAGAAGATAATAGACGATTCCAAGCTTTCGGATTATAAATCTTCCAGAGTTTTAAACCACAGTGTTACTGCTATTGTCGAAATGCAAACGGTTACGCACAGGCGGATCCACATGCAGCGACGAGTCCCTCGCTCGAGAAGCGACATTGTTCGAATTTCATTAAGGCAGCGATGCGAAGCTCGTGACGCACGACCGGAAGCGTAATTCCGTGCGTTGGGAACCGTGTTGAAAACCAATTTTTTTTACCATTTTTTTTGTTTTAGCAAATTTAATACAGCCACCATTGGAATATTCGGAAAATCGATCATGAGACTGACACGTGTATGGTCTATAAAAAAAAAATGTATGGCTATCAGTATATTACGGTGTCGTACTTTAAACGGTATTTGAATTATAACCTCATTTCTCAACACCTAAGCTGTTCCTCGTGGAGCAGACCTTAGCAGAATCTAAGCAGTTTCCATAAAGTCACCATATGGCACCAGTGTGAATTCCCAAGTCCTTGAAATACGCAACAGTAAATTCCAGTGAAGGTACCAAAATCGTGATCTATATCCACGCCATAAATACAATATACGTAATACAAATATCCCCATGAATATACCTACCAGTTTTTGGTATCACTTCAACAGTAAAGCGTGACTCATAATGGGATAAGAAATCCCGTATTTCGCTGAGGTTGATATCGCGCTCGCACTGTTCACGTAGATAGACAAGAACCTTGTTACCGGATACGTATCCCGGAGAATCCTTTCCGGATGGATACGAAATCCAGTCGGCGGCAGCAAGGAAGGACATTCCGGTAAAAGTCGCGACCAGAAGCCACCACCAGCGCTGGTTGAACCAACCCCGGGCCATGGGCCCTGACAAGCCCACCACCGTAACCTCTGTCTGAAAGGAATGAAAAAAAAAAAAACAAATATTTTAATTCCAATTATTATCTCGCCGCAAGTACCTAAAAGCTTTTCAAAATAACATTTACCTGAGACTCTTTGCTGTAAGTCGATTTCCGTATAAGGGACGAGGCTCTCACCTTCGGATCCCCATAAGCCTCCTCTTTCTCATGGTGGCGACTTTCTACCTCGCCACTCCTGACCGCAGGAGCAATGACGAATCCTCGTAACTTTCATGCGAGTTGTAGTCTCGCAAGATTACGTAATATTTTGTAACTTCTTCCCGTTTCTGGTTCACCTCCTTATTATGAAATATCCAGAATTCCAAAGATCCTCTTGATCGGATATAACAGCATCCACATACCAGCCAGCCGATGTCCCGAATATTCTTCAACGACGGCAGAATGCGTCCTGATTCCCCTACTGGAAATCGATTCCCCAGGTTCAACCGTGTAAACTCGACCTGGGAATCAGCTTTTGCCTTTCCAAGATTCACCAGGGACAACGTAGGTAACTCTGAATCAGAGCTCTACATGTCGGGTACGTAGTACCAACCAAGGTAGTACCAGAATGACGTCCTTTGCGAGAGGTTGATCGAGTAGGTGGAGAAAGTGGTGGTGGTGGTGGTGGTGATAGGGTAGGACGGGGGTAGACGTAATATAATCCTGAAAGGCTGAAACACAAAGTATGATAAAACGATCAGAGAGTGAATATATCGTAGAGAGAATTGACTTGGTCCCCGGTGAAAATAAATTTTATCACCGCTAAAGGAAATCTTGGTTATGCCGATTGGAAATAAACGGTGCGATTCATGAAACAAGAAGTGACAGTTCCACTTGTACGACTTAGCGAATCAGTAGATTTGGAATACACATGGGATAATAATTGCCCGTAGTCGATCTTTTCGGTGAACCAACTGCACCCGTTAGAATATCCTATAAGGATATTCTACTCGAATATATAGGTACATATATACATATATACAGGTAGGTCATCCGCTTGATCTACTATCTCGTTATCCTTGTTAATTACATTCATTAACTATAATAAGTTATCGCACCACTGAGAGACGCTTCCAGTGCTGTATATGCATTTCAAATATACGTATAGCCGAGGCACGACATCAGTCACACTTTCAGGGGGCCATCACCTTAAGGACCGAAACGTAATTAAGACCCCTGAACGTGTATACTCTGAGGTAACTATATTAATATACAACTATACCCAACGAATATAATATGGACTACTCCTAACCCTTTTATCATCTGGATAATATACGATAAAGTTGGATAGCAATTTGGTACGCAGTCCATTAGAGAATTATCAATGATCCGGTCAATCTTGCTGACCCTGTTTGATCCTTAACAGAGATCGAGCCTTCTCTGCTAGGGCAGACACTAAGAAAAGAATCCAATTTATTCTGAGTAAAGTGCCAGGGCTCTCTGTCCTTTTAACCAACGAGTTCATTTTGCTACTCAGCCACCCTTACTAATCTCAGCCTGCAGGTAAATTGATTTAAGGTAAATTGATTGATTGCAGGTAAATCGAAATTAATCTCCTTTTCGTGTGTTGCTTTATGATGGTACTAAATGGGAATCCTTGTAAACTTTTATCGGTAATCAGTTGCAATACCGTGTGAAGTACGGAATGTTTATAAACTTTCCTTAGAAAACTTTAAGTAGAGAAATATATATATATATATTTTTTTTTTCAAAACCTTTTTTTTATTCTCTCAGATATACGCTTGAGGATTCTACGAGAGTGGTAGACCGAGAGCAGCAAGGGGCAAAAGTTTTTAGCCATTACCAAAGCCAACCCCTTTTTCATTTTCCTTTTTACAGTCAGCCTAAAGGAATTGTCTACCCTGAATAATACCTATACATGGCGCCGAAAGGGCAATTTCGTCAAAACAAATCATCCCTTGCTATTATGTACTATATAGAGACGGATGAGAGTAGGGTGGACCAGGATACTGGTTCTTCAGTTGCTCCTGTCTCTCGCCTGACGTCACACGACATGACAAACAAGTCCGCCCAATAAACGGAGGAAAACTTTGTCCTTTGGATCCCTATGATTTGTTTGAAGCGAAGGAAGAAAAACTAGAGTAAAATGGAGAAGGAGGGAGAGGGGCTAAGAGAAGGTGGATGAATAAAGTAAGGGAGTGAGTATATACGGCGAGAAAGGGAAAAGTAAAGAGAGAGTGAAGGAAAAGTGGAATAAAAAAGAAATTCCAAAGACCAATTGGTCCTTTATTACGTTTCGTCTTCCATCGAAAAAGGTTACTAGATATTCCCTATATCTAGTGACTCGTTATTGACAAAATGACGATTCGCTTATTCCTAATTAAAGTTTCTACGAAATTGCGTACACCGCTTTAGGAACTTACCCTCTGTGGTATTAAAGGGTAAAAAGTTTAACGACACCACGCAGAATTAACAAGAGGAAGGAATTGTTTAGCGGTCCAGGATCGATCGTCTCATTAGTGTAGCAAAGGTGAAACAGAAGCACGAGATTGTTCTTGGTAGTTTGCGGAGACGATGTCGGTCGACGTTCGCTGAACCAAAGGGGAGCTGTTTCAATTAAGCAATATTTTATTATAAATTTGTTCAATTCACTTCGAAAAGACTCAACATGAGCTTGCATTTAGTTGCATGAAAGGAACGTGAGAATAATTTAAAAAAAAATAACATAGCTACCTGTCACTCGGCAAATAAGTTTTTCAATATGTCCAACGTTTTCAATTAAATCGTCTCTTTACTTTCCTGCTTTCCTTTTTCATCCACAGCCAAAGCCCATTGGTATAAGGATTCATCGATTTGTGCGAAACGAGGCCGAGGAATTTCAGCGTCGAAATGTCGACCGAAATCGTAACCTCCGTTCTCAAGCGATCCCATTAACTGTCGTTTGGATTAAGGAATCTTTGAGAATATTAACATAAGTATCGAGATGAGAATGGCGAAATAGATATAAAGAGTGAATGTGACTCTGACCCCTAGTAAATTCTAGAATACCCATCAAATTCATTTCTTCTATATCTATCTACATTACCGACGCGTGGAAGCTCTTTAAAATCGTAGGCACGTAGAGAATTACCGATAAGGTAGGGAATTTTAAAGGTAGCTTAGAAACCCAAATCAACAGTCAAACGTATGTATGTTAACTGATCCATAAATATATCTATAAAAATAGACGCGAACCATTAAATCTATATTGCAAATGAAGTTCCTACAACATTGATATTAGCATTTTGGTAAAGTATACTTGACTCCAAAAAAAAAGTATTCAATTATTTGTTAAAAAGTAAAACTCAATAACGTTTCCTATGGCAAAGATAGACTGTCGTTAACGAAGGCGACCTGTTAATCTGATTTTCAACAAGTGATAACATCTACAGCATTTAACTCGGTTTGGCAAATAATCCTAAGACACGACTGGGTAGATGTGACTAGACTGGTTAGAAGGGTACTTGTCTTGGTCTTCCTTGTTCGCGATAAGGGAGAAGAAGAGTTCCCCGTATGCAAATGAGAAAATCTGCCTGCTATCTGCTAGCTGCCATAAGAAAGCCAGACAGAGAAAGAAGGAGAAGAAGAAGAAGAAGATGGCTCAATCCGGATGAACCTCATCACAGTCCTGGAGTAGTGCCTGGCTGTACAGCTGATTCTATTATGCTTATCTGCTGCCACTTCGTTATGGCTCATTCCAGCTCCTCGTTAAAAGATGCTGAATCCAGACTCAGTCTGGTCGGGACGATACTTCAACTGCTAAGAAAATAAATTCTATTAATTCAAACCAAATAGGTATTGAGTTACACATTAATTACCTTATGACCTAAATAAATTTCTCAAATTCAAACAACAAACATTTCTTCTCCAATCCACGAGATCCGAGTAACGTAGTTGACTGATATTTAAAAATTATCATATTCATAAAAAAAAATAATTAACAGTGTTACCAACCTAACTGTATTATCACTATATGAAAATGACAGAGTGTAGCCAAGCTTATCCCGTAAGTCCTTGTGACAAAAAAAGGGTTGGTCAATCTTGTACATACTCATTGCGATAATATCCTCAGAACTTTGGTCCATGCTTTCAGATCTTACTTTAAGCCTCAATTTCTGTAAATCCTTAGGACATAAAGGACCTCTTGGCGCTCTTGACTGAACCTCACGAAGAAATGATTAAACCTTGTCATTTCGTAGAGGGCTTTTAAAAAGTCTTTCTTCGAGTCAATGACTCCCTGAAATCCTGAGATATTTTGGGATCATTTATGGCTCTCTTCTTTTAGTTTCACTTAAAAAAAAAAAAAAAGAGCAGTTATCTCCCTAAGAAAAAAGCACGATTCAATGTGAAGACTAAAATGCACGTGCTTATATAAACAGACTGTAGATTAATTTTCAAACTGCAAATGGCTTGCTAATATCAATATTAACGAGAGTCAAAATATTGAACTCCATTGGAAAAATCGAGCTTAAATATTTTAAAAGTCACATAGGCGTCACTTACATTAACATTTTTTTTCATTAGTTCAAATAAATTGATATCAAAAAAAAGCTCACATCCAATAAATGATAAGGGCTTATAGGTAGGATCAGTTCATTCAATTTATCTAACCTATGGGACTATATAGGATTTTCCGTCGATTCGTGCATTCCGCCCTGCTAGGTATAAATTTCTATCCTGATATCCTAGAGGACATCTTCCCTTTTTTGCTTAGCACCGAGTGCGATGGATTTTCTGGATTTCCTGTCATCCCAATACCCATAAGGATATCCTTGTAGTGTCAGGAACGGGATCGTTTCTGGTTGGAATATCATATCACCTTACTGAATCCTGCAATCAATTTATGTACAAGTTTAATATCTAAATCTAAAGGCTGATTTTCACTAACCTACATTAAAATGGACATTGATTCTAATGTGCATAGAACGTGCAATCTAGGTGTAGCAGCAATACCGAGGATACTGGATTGATTATTTCTTAAATGTATCTGTAAATTGAATATACGTATGCAGATGAGTCATACAGCTCGGACAGCATCAGTCATGATTATAAAGTGTTAAAATTCTGAAAACTGATTTTTGTATTTAATGGCTATTCAACTTTTTCCTGAAAAGTAGGGTCAAGTTAGGTTAGGTTGAGATTGACATCTTGAAGTTATAAATCTCTTTGGCTATTTGAATAATCCTGTAGAAGCTACAGGTATTAATACTATTGGGAATGGTACTATCTGCAGTATACCCCTCAGTCGACAATTTATTAGGCCGCTAATGTTAACGGGGAAAATTTCAATAACGCACCTGGCTCTCTCGTCGACACGATTGATCTTAAGAGGGTGCGAGATACCCTTGCGGAAATAATAATCTTGGATTTCCGAGAAAAGAGGTAGAGAGGCGTAACGAGCTTAAAGAAATAGAGAACGAAAAGGACAGAGCGAGTTATGCCGAAAGGAAATAGAAAAAAAAAATGAATCATAAGGGTTGTAAATTGCGTAGAATATGAAACCGTAGGTCGAGGTTCATCTATCAATATCGTGACTTGAATACTGGAGGGGGGTCTCACAAGCTTATACCACCTCCACCCCCGCCACTTTGACTTTTACTGGGATAACCCTCTCAAAAAAAAAAACACGGTCTAAATTTAACCCATTGCCAGCCGTGAAATTTTCGGCATACTTTAACATCCCCTTAGCCACCCCCCCCCCCCCCCCAA